CTGGCGTATATAAAAAACAACTCGCACTAAACCGCAAGTGGAACTGTTAGTGCAAACGCACATGATGGCTATGTTGTGCCCGGTCTCCCGAGATATCTAAACGAAAAGAGGAGGGGAGAGCAAATAATCTCCCATCAGCAGAAGCCGGCTGACAGCGCTCGGACTCCATCCGGTCGGCACGCGTGGCCAGTGACGCAACGCTACAGCACACAAGGCAAATCTTTCCAGAATCATCCACCACGTGGCGAGAAGCGAACAGGCGCACCGCAGCAGGAGGTAAGGGCGGAGGAGGAGCAGGCTCTTGATCGATCGAGCTGGAGGAGGAGGAGGAGGAGGAGGAGGAGGAGGAGGAGGAGGAGGAGGGGGAGGTGGAGGAGGAGGAGGAGAGGGCGGAGGAGGAGAAGGAGGAGGAGGGCGGAGGAGAGGAGGCGGAGGAGGAGGAGGGCGGAGGAGGAGGAGGGCGGAGGAGGAGGAGGAGGAGGAGGAGGAGGAGGAGGAGGAGGAGGAGGACCCCCCCTCCAACTTCTGGTGGTGGTGGTGGTGGAAGACACGCCCATCATCCTACACTGCCGTGCAGATTGGCAGATGGCTGTAGCCCGCGCGCCGACGCGTGGCCCACGCGTGCTGGAAGACGGCGCCGGCGGCCCTTGTCGGCGGCACCGTGACGAGACTCGTCCTCGTCGTCCTCCTCCTCCTCCTCCTCCTCCTCCTCCTCCGACTCATGGAAGGTGGCGGTGGAGAACAGGCTCCTCATACGAGGACCGCCAGGGCGGCAGCAGCGCAGGCCTCCGCAGCTCCGCGCGGATGCCCCGGGGACTCGCGCTGCCCCCCGGCCGCGCGGCCCCGGGCCGCGATCCCGAGGGGCACGGGGCGCTCTCTGCGCGGCTGCCCCCCGCGCGGCGCGTGCCCGTGCGGCCGCGGCTCCGCGGGGCCGCGCGCCGGAATCCGGTCGGCAGGTGCGCGGATAGAGATAGGGAACCCACAAAGGACGTACGCGCCCAGCTATGTACATGAACACGGCCCCTCGATCCGCGAGACAAGCCGCGTTATACGAACATTTGCGCAATGCGTACTCTCGAAACCAGCGTGGATTCATGTACGTGTACGTCCTTTTGTCGCTCCTGAATAGAAGAACAGGAAATGGTATGACCGCAAACATTGGGCGCTCCGCGCGGATTGCTTGGATCTGCGCTGTGGACCCCCTCCCCGGCGCGCGGAGCGCGCCAGGGGGCGCGCCGGGAGCGCTGCCAGGGGGATCCTGCGCAGATCCACAAGAAATCGAACATTTATGTTTATGAAGCTTCCCTCTTCGAAGCAGGGCCATCTGCCCCCAAGGTGGCCTAAGGTAGTCACCGTAGTCAGGAATCGCCAGTTGGCGCCTCCTCCTGCAGCAGCCTGCGGAGCTCCCAGACCCTCGTCCAGAAGCGGACCTTGCGCATCTTGCAGGCGAGAGGTCGCCGAGAAACCGAGTCAGCACCTGGGTCAGCAACCGCACCTGCCTGCTGTGTGGGGAGCCCTTTGGCCCGTAGGTCCTGACGATGCCGGCTCATTGCTGCGACTCCGAAGCCATCAGACTTGCCTCGCCCGAGATGATGAGCCCCTTGCCATCTTGGTTCATGTCGTGCTTCTTGTGTGATCGCAGCAGGCCACCCGTGACCGTGCTCCTGACGAACCGGCCTCGCGCTTCAGAGGCTGGTCTCAGAGAGGTCTCGAGAGGTCTCCAGAGGTCCCCCGGAGTTTCCAGGGATCTCTGGAAATTTCCGCAAGCCTCCGCAACCCAAGAGAAGGCAGCCATGTAGAGCAGCAAAGCCATCGATCGACCTCTTCCACGAGGTGAGCATGGGAAATGGTGGAGAAGGAGGAGGATGCCATCCACGATCGGGATGAGTAGGGTGGGTTTTTTTCCTCCTCGTCGTCCTCCTCCCATTTCTCGTCCTCATCGATGCCTTTCCTTATCAGTAACTCTTCCTGTCGCACCCCGAGGCGTGTCCGTGGGGCGGGCCAGGCGTTTTGCTTGATTTTTCCTCACCCTTTTTTTATGATCGCTCGACTGACACATTTGCAACATATTCGCGGATGGAGGGCGGGTTGTTTTCAAAATGTGGCTCTCGCCTCAGCGCCGCACACAACCTTCTTAAACATTTTCAAGGGTTTCACGGGTAGAGGGCGGTTCGGTTTCAAAATGTACATCTCGCCTTAGTGCCGCGCCCATCCGTCTTGAACAAAAGCAACAATTTCACGTACTGAGGGCGGTTCCTTTTCAACATGTGGCTCTCGCCGTGACGCCGCGCACAGTCGCCTTTAAACATTTGCAAAATTTTCACAGATGAGGGGGCGATTCTTTTTCGACATGTGGTTGTCGCCCTCGCGCCGCGCATATCCGTTTTAAGAGTTTACAGCGTCACATAGATTATCATCGCTGACGTCCCAACATTGGTGTTTTGACGCGATGTCGGACTGCCTGGGCGCAACGACTACGATGATTTGCGGTGTTGGCGTCCCAAAAACTGCGTTCTGGTAATATTCAGACCCGTCAAGGCGCAACAACAATGATTCGCGGCGTTGAAGTCCCAAAGATGGTGTTCTGACGCAGTTCTGGGTTTTCCAACGGTTGCGCTCGAACGGTGCACTTCCCTCAGTGATCATGAACCCTGGTAGGGGCCCATGAGGATGGAACTTGGAGGGAGGGTCTACACTGGTCCTCCGACTCCTCCGCCTTATCATCGTCCTCGTCCTCGCTTTTCCCAACCCTCCTGTGGTGTTGGGTCCTCGTGTTGAAGAGACGGTCCCCGCGTTCCTCTCCTCTCCTTCCTCCTCCTCCCCCTCCTCTCTCTTCCCCCTCCTCCCTCCTCCCTGCGTTCCACCCACCCAGTACAGCGCTTCGTGGCCCCATAGGGAGCCCCACCGAAGGTCCAGATACTTCCGTCCGCATGCGTCCCGCACACCCAGTACAGCGTTTCGTGGCCCCTTCCTCCCTCCCCCCTGCGTTTCACCCACCCAATGCGGGGCTTCGGAGCCCCATGGGGAGCCCCACCGAAGGTCCCAGTGCTACCGCCCGCATGCGTTTCGCACACCCAGTACAGCGTTTCGTGGCCCACAGGGAACCCCACCGAAGGTCCCGGTGCTACCGCCCGCATGGAGTCCCGCACGCCCAGTACAGCGCTTCGTGGCCCCATAGGGAGCCCCACGGGCGGCCCCAGTGGGACCGTCCGCATGCGTCCCGAAAACCCAATTTGGCATGTTCATCCACCTAGTACAGCGCTTCGTGGCCCCATAGGGAGCTACCGAGGCCCCCAGTGGGACCGTCCGCGTGCGTCCCGAAAACCCAATTTGGCATGTTTCACCCACCCAGTTCACCCACCCAAAACAATGTCTCGTGGCCCCATATGGAGCCCCACCGAAAGTCCCAGTGCTACCGCCCGCAGGCCCCCCCCTCCCCCTCCTCCCCCCCCCACACACGCACACACACAAACAGAAACACAAACACAAACACAAACACACGCCCACACACACTCACACACTCACACTCACACGCTCACACACTCACACACTCACACACTCTCACACTCTTACGCTCCCACACACATACACACACGCACACGCACACGCGCGCGCACGCGCACGCGCACACACGCATGAGCACGCACACGCGCACACACGCAAACACGCACACACGCACGAGCACGCACACACGCACACACGCACACGCACACACGGTCACACGCGCTCACGCACACACGCACACTCGCACGCGCACACGCACTCGCACACGCACGCGCGCACACGCGCGCACGCGCTCACGCGCACAACCGCACACGCACACACGCACACACGCACACACGCACACAAACACACACGCACACACGCACACACGCACACACGCACACACGCACAACCGATCACACGCACACACGCACACACGCACACACGCACACACGCACGCACGCTCACACGCACACACAAACACAAGCACACACACAAGCACAAACACACACACACACGCACGTACGCACGCACGCACGCACGCACGCACGCACACACACACACACACACGCACACACGCACACACGCACATACGCACACACTCACACACACGCACACACACACACACGCACACATTCACACATGCACACACACACACAAGTTGGCGTTTTCACCTATGCAGTACAGTGTTTCGTGGCCCCATCGGTTAGGGAGCTCCACCGACGGATCCAGTGCTTCCGCCCGCATGCGTCCCCACCCACACAGCGCAGCGCTTCGTGGCCCCATAGGGAGCCTCACCGAAGAAGATGTTCACAATTGCGGTACCCACAACTGCATATGGTTGGGTCCTTCGCCAGGATGATTTGTTAAAGCTGCGCAGACATGGATCGGAGATCGTTGCGTTATTCGTGACGTGCAAGAACATGATCGCCGACTTGGGCGAAGTTGCAAACACATTCAGCAGGTGGCGGGCGCTGCGAGCAAAGACAAGCAAAAAGAGGGGCAGCAGAACGAGGCCCAAACCGGCGCAGGGGAAACGCCCGCCGCCTGCACTGGAGGAGGAACCCGAGGAGCCTCCTCCTCCTCCTCCTCCTCCTCGTCCTCCTCCTCCTCCTCCTCCTCCTCCTCCTCCTCCTCGTCCTCCACCTCCTCCTCCTCGTCCTCCTCCTCCTCCTTCTTCTTCGGCAGGCCACGGCCCGCGCGCACCCGGAAGCGTCAGCCCCCGCCTCCTCCTCCTCCTCCTCCTCCTCGCCATCTGGCTCCCGCCGCCTCCTCCGAGAAGCACGGCGGCGCACGCCCCGCCCGGCGCCCCTCCTCGAAAGGGGCCCCAGGACACACAAATAAATACACACAAATAAACAGATTCCCCATCTATTCCCACATTTTCTGGGTTTTTGTCTTCCCCCCCACTTCCCATATTTTCCCATACTTTCTGGGCAATCGAGGATTCATTGTGTCTGTGTGCTTCTTTCCCTCCTGATAAAACACGGCGGCGCACGCCCCGCCCAGCGCCCCTCCTCGGTCATCCGCCAACCCTGGGAGAGCACCACGACGAAGGTGTAGGCCGTGTAGGTCTTCAGCACCGTGATCATCACCATGACCTGCGGCGGGGCTCCGGGGGTCGTCGGGAGCGGCCAAGAGGCGCAGCCCTTAATCCTGTTCCTCGGCCGGCTTCCCTCGCGGTCGCCGTCATTGTCCTCCTCCTCCGCCTCCTCGAAGACCGCTTGAGATGGAAGGAAACGGGCCCTGCTGGAAATGAATCCTGGACCCGGGAGCCTGCCCTCGGGAGCGGCCAAGAGGGGGGTGTCCAAGAGGGGGGGGGTGCAAATCATGACCGGCGGCATGTGCGCGGCCCCCCGCGGGGGGCCAGGGACGTAATGCAATAAGAAGAGAGGCGCCATGAAATCTGGGGAAATATCATGGCCCACGCCATGATCTCCCCCCCCCCCTACTAGTCATCACCCACCTCTTTGCCGCGCCCGAGATCGAGGTCCGAGGATCCGGGCACCGGGGATCGAGAGCTGAGGCGGAGGGTCGACGTGGGAGCGTCGAGGATGGAGGCTCGAGCGCGGCGGAGGGTCCAAGGTGCAGCAGAAGAAGAAGCACGACACAGCATATGAACTGTTGGCGCTCCGCGCGGATTTCTTGGATCTGCGCCGGACCCCCCTCCCTGGCGAGCGGATCGCGCCAGGGGCGGCGCCGGAGGCGCCGACGGAGGGGCCCAGCGCGGATCTAAGAAACCCGCGCGAAGCGCCCCAAAAGAGGTCTTATGAATTGTGTCTTCTTCGATGCAACGCGTGCAGATCAGCACCACGACTTATGTTGCTCCCATCGTACTTGAGGGCCACATCCCAAAAATGATTTCGAGCACCCGTAAAAGTGTCGAAAGTGTGTCGAAAGAGTGTCGAAACAGTGCTGGGCGAGTGTCTCCCAGGGCCCGACGCGAAAAAAACCCTCGAGTCTCGGTATCTTTTTTGGCGCTCGAAATTCTTCCTGATGGTCAAGGCTAGAGTACTCCAGATTTCGTAACAAAAGGGAGGGGGTCTGGACCCTCCAAGACAAGCCATTTCAGACCCCCCCCCCGTGGGAGAACCCTCCAAAACATCGTCCCCAGACCCCCCCAGGCCCTCCAAGATAGCCTGGAAGAGACCCCCCCCGAAATGAGACCCCCCTCCCTGTATTACGAAATCTGGAGCAGATTGGAACATCATGCACCACGACCTGTCACGGGGGGGGCCGTCGGCCCTCCCGTTCCCGCCGCCTCCCGGGCGCTGAAGCGGCGGCCTGGGACGCGGCGCGGGCAGCTGGCCGGGACGGACCCCGGGGAGGGGTCGGCACCGGCTCTGAGCGGGCGTTGGCCCATCCCGGGGCGATGCTCGAGGCCGGACGAAAGGGGGGGATAGCAAAGGGGGGGTTTGAGAATCGGCTCACGCAGCTGATTTTCCCGGCGCCCCCCGGCGCCGGGAAGGCGCCCATGTATCGAGGAATGGGCCCCTCGGTGGGGCCCAAACCAGCTGCGTGCAGCAGATTTCGTACCCCCCCTTTCCCAATCCCCCCCTTTCGTCCGGCCCGAGATGCTCGAGGATCGCCAGGGTCTGCGGCGGAGGGTCGATGGGGGAGCGTCGGGGATCGAGGATCGAGGATCGAGGGCCGGCGCGGGTGCACGCGCGTGGCTCTTCTTGGGCCCGCGGGGACCTCCGGAGAACCTCTCCCAACCCTCCGAGAAAGAGCAGGAGGAGATGGGAATGACGATGAGCAGGAGGGGATCACCTGGGGCAAACGAGCGGGAGGACATCGAGGAGCAGACACAGGAGGAGCGGGTGATCATGAGGGGGAGGGGGAGGGGGGGCAGCGGGAGGTTGGGACGCGCAGAGACACACCAATACCATATGTCCTCCTTGGAGGCGCGCGTCCGATCCGAACATATGGTATATGCCCATGTCAGTGTGGCCAGAAAGGGCCCGCCACGACGCACGTACTATAAGACTTCTCGGTGCGCGCGTCGCCCTCGGGGGGGGCGACGCACACATAGTACCAGTTCAGTCGGGGCCCGGCCTCAAGAAACCCAACCCTGAGACCCCTGGGCGTCCATCAATTTTGGTGTGGGAACGTCACGCTTTCCATCGCAGAACCATCGAAACCCAAGCAACCCAGGGTACACCCTGGCGGCAAGCAGGGTGTTTCCTGGCATGGGCTCCCACTGCAGTTTTCGTATGCTGGGGAGACGCTGAGAGGAGGGGGCGGATGACCAGGAGGGGGACGACTGACCTCCCAAGAGGGCCCAGAGAAGGATTAGGGGCCTCTTGAGATGGGCGAAGACATGGCCTTACAAGACGGCCTCTGAGGGCGTCCGACGGGTCGAGAGGGTCCGACGGAGGCCCCCCTGGGTAACTCCGCGGGGGAAGGGGGTGCCGGCGGGCAGCGCGGGGGCGAGACCCGCCGCGCGGGGCAGCTCTCGAGCCTCCCAGCGCGTGGAGCAGCCCGCGTCGCTGCCTAAGACGAAGGCAAGGCGACAACGGGTTGCCTGACGTGCCAGGCGTTGGAATGCTGTTGCGTAATATGCCTTGCTGCGAGATTCGCAGTGGCCTCTGGCCAAGACTGCTGGTCACCCGGACAGACCCAGGCGAACCCCGAACCAGCCCAAGATCGAGAAACACCGCCTCCAAGATTGTCAAGATAGCCCCAAGATGGCTCCAAGACGATCCCAAGAGCCAAAGGTGGCCACACGATGCATCCCAAACGGCCCAACATAGACACAAGACGACGGCCCAAGATGGCCCCAAGACTGCCGAGCAGGCATCTGACACGACCCGAGAGTGCTCCGAGAGGCCCTCCAGGAGAGCCCAAGGAGCTAAAAACATCGTTTTCCGCATGTCCCTCTGCCCTCCGCGTGCCACTTCCGGCACACCCCTCACGCGCCTCGAGGCCCCGTGCGGAGCTCCACCGAAGGCCCCAATGGCAGCGCCCGCGTGGCTCGGGGATCCTCGGACCTGGGTCAATCCAGTCCCGGGTCCGTCGGGCCTTGCCGACTCCTGCAGGATCCTGCAAGATCCTGCACCCAAACCAGGGCCAACGCGAAAGATCCTGCAAGATCCTTCAGGATCCTGCACCCAAACCCGGGTCAATGCGACCCTGGCCCTGCAGGATCCTGCAAGATCGGGCGTTCTGGCCGCCCCTCGTCTGCACTGACCCCCGTCTCTTGAGCCCCGAATTTGAGAAGGGACCGACCGTCCCGGCATTCCTATAGTCCTGCCACGAAATGTTCTTGGGGCCCGAAAATGTTCTAAAGATGCAAACCATGTTCTTAGAACATACACCCGATGTGATAAATCAAGACAGTCCCAGCCAGAAATGTTCTAAGAACATTTCGTGGGAACCACAACAGGTTCTTGGAAAATTGTTTGGTAAGGCTATAGGCACGCCAGGACGCTTCGCCACTGCTTGACGAAGGATCGCGCTGCACGCCTTCCGGCACACCCCTCACACGTCTCGTGGCCCGGCGGGGAGCTCCTCCGCAGGCCCAGCGCCCGCAGGGCAGCGCCGCGCCTACTTCGGCACACCCCTCACGCGCTCCGTGGCACCATAGGTGAAGGGGCCCTGGGACACACAAATGAATAGACACAAATAACAGGATTCCCACACATGTTCATATATATTTTCTAAGTTTTTTGTCTTCCCCCCCACTTCCCATATTTTCCCGTATTTTCGGGGGCATCGACGATGCATTGTGTCTGTGTGTTTTCCCTCCTCTTGACACAGCTCCACCCGAGGCTCCAGTGGCAGCGCCCGCAGGGCACCGCCGCGCCCACTTCGGCACACCCCATCACACGTTTCGTAGCCCTCTGCGGAGCTCCGACAGGGGGATTTTCGACGAAAAATGAAACATACCCCAGAAATGCCCCAAAATGAGCAAAAATACCCCAAACATAATCCCCAGACTATTTTTTCAATGTTTTTGAATTTTTTCCCTGCAGAGGGACAGGCCCGACTTAAGCCCAGTGGCAGCGTCCACGAGGCACCGTCGCATCCATGTCGGCACACCCCTTTCACGTTTCGCGGCCCGATAGGGAGCTCCATCGAAGATCCCAATGGGAGGGCCCGCATGCCGCCGGACCCACTGTGGCACAGCCTCACACGTTTCGTGGCCCCTGGAAAGGAACGACACCGAAGGCAAGGCTCACGATCGCCTGCACTCACAACTGCACATGGTTTAGTACTTCGCTGACTGACTTTCGCGTTCTCACCCTTCCCATAGCCCAAGACGACCCCCAATACTGGCCAATAAGGCCGTAAGACGGCCCACGAGATCTCCAAGACGGCCCTGAAGGGCCCGAAGTCGGCCCAGAGAGCCGCCAAGCCGGTCCCAGAGAGCCGCTCAAACAGGCTGAAAGCGCCCTAAAACAGCACAACGAGCCTGCAACACGTCCCCAAGAGACTCATGGAGGTCTCAGAGAGGAGTGTAGGATGCCCGTAGAGAGCTCCTCCTCGTCCTCGTCCTCGGTCTAGGTTTCCGTCTCCTCCTGCTCCTCCTCGTCCTCCTCCTCCTTCTCTCCCTCTTCCTCCTTCCAAGTGTTCTCCCAAGTTCCCAAGTGTTCCACGACGGCTGGGGGAGCACATTGTCCAAGAGCTTGGTCAGGCTCTGGCCCAACGTTTAGCTGCATAGGCGTTTCCAAAAAGGCAGGAGGCGGCGGTGATCCGCCGCAGGCGTCTTCGATACGAATCAGAAGTGTACAGGAGGGAGGGAGGGAGGGAGACAAGGAGCATGGGAAACAAATTCGCCGGCCCAACGGGCCAAGGGCGTGCCAATTAATTAGCAATGTTCTAATTCGTGCTCGCGGGGCGACCCCTGGGGGTCCCCAATACCTCGGCAAGGTCCCGGCAGGTCCCGGCAAGGTCCCGGCAAGTCCCGGCAAGGCCCCAGGCAGGTCCAAGACAGGTTTTGGGCAGGTCCTGGACAGATCCCAGCAGGCTCCCAAGAGCGTTCCAGGAGCGCTTCGAGTGGCCGTCAAGAGAGCTCAACACGCCCCAGAGGCTTCTAGGATCGCCCCAACACGGCCCAAGAGGCCTCCAAGAGCGCCCAAAACGGTCCCAGATGGCCGCAAGACACCCTAGAGGCCTCCAAGATGGCCGAAGAGGTTCCCAAGACGGCTCCAAGAGCGGGCCCAGACGAGGGACCCGAACGGACGTGTCGAGCTCTAGGCGCAGAGAGGTCCCCTGGAAGCCCGAAGAGGCCCCCAGAAGCCCCTAAAGGCCCCCGAGAAGCCCCAAGAGACCCCCCAGAGGCCCCAAAAGACCTCGCAAGAGGGCCCACAGAGGCAGATATTCTATTCGCGCGCGCGCGGGGCCGCCCCTGGGGGTCCCCGGACGAAAAATACCCTGGCAAGGTCCTGGCAAAATTTGGCAAGGTCCCGGCAAGTCCCAGCAAGATCGCAGGCAGGTCCTGGCCAGGTCCCAGGCAGGTCCCGGACAGGTCCCAGCAGGCTCCCAAGAGCGTTCCAGGAGCGCTTCAAGTGGCCTCCAAGAGAGCTCAACACGGCCCGAGACGGCACAAGAGCGATCCAAGACGCCAGAGATGGCCTCCAGACAGCCCAAAGCGCCTGCAAGACACCCCCAGCAGAGGCCTCCAAGAGACCTCCCAAGAGGGTCCACAGAGGCAGAAATTAGTGATTTCCCCTTAGTTTCTGAAAGTTGTTGACACTCTCGCCTTGGGGGCTTACTGGCGCTCCAAGACGGACCAAGGGGCTCCCAGGATCGCCGCAACACTGTCCAAGAGGCCTCCAAGAGCGCCCAAAACGGTCCCAGAGGGCCCCAAGACACTCTAGAGGCCGCCAAGATGGCCGAAGAGGTTCCCAAGGCGGCTCCAAGAGCGGGCCCAGACGAGGGACCCGAACGGACATGTCGAGCTCTAGGCGCAGAGAGGTCCCTTGGAGGCCCCCAAGAGGCCCCCAAGAAGCCCCCAAGTGGCCCCCGAGAGGCCGCAAGAGACCCCCAAGAGACCCCCAAAGGAACCCCATGACGCCCCAGGAGGTCCCAGAAATACCGCCATGAGGCCCAAAAAGAGGCTCCAAGAGGCCCCCAGACGGCCTCCAAGAGCCTGCGATGGCACAATACGGGCCGGCGGAGTGGTCGAAGCGATTCACAATGAGAAACAGGACGGAGGGTCGCGTGAAGTATGGAGGAAGGATGAGGGAATAGTGCGGACTAAGGAGGGAGGGAGGGAGCGAGAGAGAGAGAGAGAGAGAGAGAGGAAGGATCAATGAGAGAAACGAACGACTACGTCGCGAATCAGGCCGAGGGGAGGGAGGAAGAAGCGAGGGAGGATTGAGAAGCGGGGAAGGCGGGAACGAAGGAGACTTGAGGGCGGGAAGGAGCAGTGACAGGGGATGAATCGAATTGGCCCCGAGTGGGGGCGCATCGTTTTTTCTCGTTCTGGCTGGACAGCTGGTGCAGAACCTCGGCGCACTGCCCCCCGCGCCTTTGCTCTTTTCCTCGTGATGATGCTCCTCCTCTTCGTCCTTCCTCCCTCCCTCCCTCCCTTCCTCTCTCTGTGGCCCTCGCCTCGTTCGTCCTTCGGGCCTACGTTCGGTCTCCGCTCGCTTCTGTGCCGAGCGCTCGGGAGTTAGCCCTTGACTCCACCAACGCCCAAACAATCCTTCCTTCCCTCCCGCCCAACAAGCGACCTCCGGGAAGGCCAGGCCGCCGGACGAACGGCGCAGGGATCTCGATCCTCCGACGTCGATCCTCACACTTCAGGTCCGGTTGCCGCCCGAGGACACACTTGGTGTTGTCGGCCACTTCCCCGTAGGTGTTAACGAACTCGAGGCAGAAGTACCAGGAGATTGCCTCGATCAAGCCGATGCTGATTGTCACGCCCACGATCGCGTGAATCGTGATGAGCTCCTCCTCCGGACTGGCTTCCCCTTCGGCTCCTCTCTCTCAGTGAGGAAATCGTCCGCGATGCTTGATTTGGTGCAACTGTATGCTGCTCTTTGTTAGTGTATTTCTCCCATCTTATTTTGGTATTACATGCCTACGCACGACTGGCCGCCACCGCGCCTCCTGGCACGCTGAGGCGAGAAATAAGGCCAAGCGCCAAGTGCTGTCTGGCAGGGTTTGTGAATGCTTCTCAAGGAGCCACCCACCCCTTACGGCGCGCCCACGTGCGTGCACAACCCCTACTCGTGGAGGTCCCTGGACGGCCAAGGCGTCTCCCTGGGGGTCACGGTGGCGGGACTTGCCGTAGGCAGCCAGATAAATGTGTCTGATCTTTGTTATGCCTCTGAAAAACTCCGGGGACTTCTGGAGGGAGGACCTCCGTTGTCCTCCACGAGACGCCTCCCCTACCCCCCTGATCTGTTCGACTATGGCGCGACACGGTGATCCCTGCGCTCATCTTCTGTACTCGCATCGGCGGCTCGGGGTAGGGGGGGGGACATGGACGACGGCGCGCTAGCAGCGGCGGCGGCGGGACGGGAGAGCAAGGAGGCAGCAACCTCCTCCTCCTCCTGCTCCTCCTCCTCCTCTTTATCCCCCATCTCCCCCTCCTCGTTTCCTGCTATCCCCCTGCGAAGAGGAAGAACACGCAGCACGACAAGGGCTGGCGAGGAGGAAGAGGAAGCTGACCTTCCCTGCGGTAGGCAGAGGAGGAAGGGGATTGCACAAGGATTGGGGAGACCTCTGCACCTACAATCATCGTGCCACACCACGGAACGCGGAATATAGACGAAGAAACAACGGCGTAAACATAACTCCGCGCGGATTTCTTGGATCTGCGCTGGAACCCTCTTCCTGGCGCGCGGAGCGCGCCAAGGGCGGCGCCAGAGGCGCCGCCAGGGGGGCTTAGCGCGGATCCGAGAAATCTGCGCGGAGCGCCAAACGTTTATGCTTATCGTGTTTGTTTTGTTTTCCTGTTTCTCTTCTTACGGAACGCCACTGCCGCCAGACCCCCAAGAGCTTCCCAAAAGGCCCCCTAACTACCCCCAAGAGGCCCCCGAGATTGCTTGTCGTCGTCGTTGTCGCCACCACTCAGGGTCGGCGGCGACGGACGTGAGGCCTTCGCACTAGGGCGCAACAAAAACGTTTCCCTCTGGCCACCGCGAGCCACTGCCGCCAAACCGGGCATCCCACCCTGCGCGCCTCGCCCGGACGTGCAGTCCCTGTGTCTTTGCTCCGGCTTCGTGCGTGGTCTTCGCCACGTGAGCAAGGATGCTCCTCGATTGGTCCTCGCCGAAGGAAAACTACAAAAAATACACACGCCCGAGCGATGCCAAGCGCCCTGCGCCCCTTTGCGCTCCCGCGAGCGCGCCCCCCGCTCGGCCCGAGGACCCTCGGGGCGTGGGCCCCCGTGCGGCCGCTGCCTCGCGCCCGGCCCCTCGGGGGCGGGGGGGGGGGGCGCCGGCACCTGCCTCGCGCCAGGGCTCCCGCCGCAGCTCTCCCACCACCACCACCACCACCACCACCACCACCACCACCACCACCACCACCACCACCACCACAGGATGGTTCGGGAAGAAAGAGGACAGCGAATCAAAGAGAAGGACGATGCCGAGAACGGCAAGGTGGATGAGGAGGGCAAGAATACTGAGAGGGTGGCAAGAAGACAGCTGGACTGCTCCGAGCCCGAGGCTGTCTCCGGCCACGCCTCGCAGACTGGCCCAGCGGAGCGCCCCAAGGCGCATACGAGCGCGAGCGGCAGACGGACCGCAGGGTCCTCTGGACCAAGACCTCCGATGCACTGGAATTCCTGGGCGCTCGACGGCTGAAACTACAGGGCAGTTTTAATACATGGGATTCGCAAAAATATGCGATTTCAATACATTATTAATTTATGAATGAATAATGGTATGCATGAACTCATTGTTGTTTTTAGTTCTAGATCCCTGCATTTGTCATACATGATCCGCACGCGGAGAATGCATTAAAAACGGCACTGTATGATCATGGGGCCAGCGCGCGCCAGGCCAAGTGCTCAAGACGCATCGCCCAAGACGGCCCCAGGACCCGTCCCGAGAGGAGGCAGTCCCGGTGCGCCCGAGCCAGGTGCCCAGGACCCTTCCACCCAGGACGAGCTTCTCCTCCTCCTCCTCCTCCTCCTCCTCCTCTTCCTCCTCCTCCCTCCTCCTGCTCCTCCTCCTCCTCCCCCTCCTGCTCCTCCTCCTCCCTCCCCCTCCCCCTCCCCCTCCTCCTCCTCCTCCTCCTCCTCCTCCTCCTCCTCCTCCTCCTCCTCCTCCTCCTCCTCCTCTTCCCGCTGCCTCGCTGGAGGCCGCGGGGGGTCCCCGCGGAAGCTCGAGATGAGTCCCCTCAAGCTCCTGGAACCGGTAGCGAGATGTGCCGCTCGTGGGTCGTAGCAGAGTCAGCCCGTGTAGTCAGGGTGCGCGATGAGGATGCAAGGGCCTTGGAAGACCATTTCGGCACCTTGCGAACGGCGCGCGACCAGCGAACGCGGCCAAGAAGGGGCCGAAGGGGCACGGATGTAAGAACCCTTGGAAAGGTTGCCCATCCTCATCATGCTGGTTGCCTGCAGTGGGATTCAATCGGGCATGTCCCCCTGCAGGCGGGTTTTGGGCGAACAAAAAGACACGCGCACAACATGTCAAAAACGATAGGACAACTGTCCCCAGACAGCGTTTCACCCGCCGAGCACAGCGCTTCGTCACCCCATAGGGAGCTCCACCGAAGGTCCAGATGGCAGGGTTCGCATGGCGGCTCCGCGCCATTTTGGTGCACCCCTCACACGGTCCGTGGGCCCATAGGGAGCTCCACCGAAGGCCCCAGTGGCAGGGTTCGCATGGCGGCCCCGCGCCACTCTGGCGCACCCCTCACACGGTTCGTGGCCCCATAGGGAGCTCCACCGAAGGCCCCAGTGGCAGGGTTCGCATGGCGGCCCCGCGCCATTTTCTGGCGCACCCCTCCCACGGTTCGTGACCCCATAGGGAGCTCCACCGAATGCGTCTGTTGCAGGGATCGCATGGCGGCCCATTTTGGCGCCCCTCTCACGCGGTTCGTGGCCCCATAGGG